GGTTCTGCAGCCATGTCCACTATATCGTATGTCATGTGGTAAAGTACTTGTTTTCATGTTGCCATGCCTTTGCCCACGCAGGTCCCCTCCCTGCAGCATTCCCCTCATCCTTGTCAACCAAAAGCCTCTGGGGACTCAGAGATCTCCTTCCCTGTCCCCGTGGATCCGGAGGAACTGTCACCACATTAACTGCTGTGCCTCTCAAAGTGTTATCAGCACTGAGCCTCCGTCAGCTGGGGCACTAGCTCTGGAAGGTTAGGGACTGCACTTTTTGTGGTGTGGTGTCCCCCTTGTGGGCTCAGAGCACACATGTGAAGGGAATGATCAAGTGGTAGCACAGTTTGGCTTGAAGGGGGGTAGGGGTAGGGCATGATTTCCTAGCCCAGGTAGGAGAACACCTAGGATCTTGCTAAGAAATGCTGTGCAACCTTGGGTGAGCTCCTTGACTTCTCATGACCTTGTGTCCTCTTCTATAAAACTGCTTCTATAAAGAGGCAGTCTCAGGGTTGTTGGGAGGATTTTGTCATCTCACAGGTATAACGAGGGAAAGGAGGCTTCGTGAAACATTTATTGTTCTTATCCATGCTGTTTTCCAAGCAGCCCTGGTCTGGGGCTTCAGCACAGTACAGGCTCAGTTACGGTTGCTTGTCCTGCACTCAGCGCTCTGGAAGCAGGGGTCCCTCAGGGATTTGCACTGATGGCTCTGGCTAACCATACATCCGGTCAGGTTTTCTGCAAAGCTGTGCAGTGGTCTGGGAGGGACATTTCCGACCGAGCACTGGGCATGAAGCCCATCGTGAGTCTGACCACTGATATGTCTGGAAAGCAAAGGTAGACCCCTTATCATGAGTTCCAGAGTCATTTGAGATGGTGGAGTTTGGGCTCTGGTTCTTCTCCCAGGTCCACAGGTGTCACCTGCTGCCAGTGACAAGGGCCCTGGGTGTATTTTGTGAAATAAGGATCTGTGAAAGCCTTGTTCCTCTGTGTGGTCCAAGAACTAGCAGCATAGCCTCTCCAGGAAGCTACCTAGAAATGCAGAAGCTCGGACCCACCCCAGACACGCTGAATCTGCATTTTCCCACTATCCCCGGCTGATTTGTGTACAATTTAGATTGAGCAGCGCTGGTCTGAAGCAGGGGTGGACAAGGTATGGCTTCGCAGGCCAAATCTGGCCCACTGCCTCTTTTGTAAATAAAGTTTTATTGGCACACAGCTATGCCTACTTGTTTGCATTTTAGTTGCTTTCAAGTTACAAACCATGTAGCATCAAGTAGTTGCAATAGAAACCAGTGGACCTATGGCCATAAGGTATTAACCACGTGGCTCTTACGGAAAAAGTCGGTTGGCTTCTTGTCTAAAGCACTATTTCTCACGCTTGGCTGCCCATTAGACTAACCTGGGGATTTGTGATTGGTGTGGGTGTGGCCTGGGCGTCAGGACTTCCCAGAGATTCCCAGGTGACCCATATGTGCGGCTTTTGGGGCATGGGAACGTGGGCTCTGAACTGCTTGTGAAAGCCAGCAAGTGCGATTCCACAGCCATAGATGGCCTGAGGTCTAGACGTGGAACGGGAGTGGGTGTTCATCCTCGCTTATTTAGCAGTCCTCTTGTTTGCTGCTCTAGACCATTGAAGGCTTTTGGAGACTAACCTGGCTGTGGAGGGCCTTTGGGTTGGGACCTCAACTCACCCCATAAGTGTGGAGTGAATAGAGCACCCCTAAGTCAGCCCGTTGACCTCCTGCAGGCAATAGGAGGCCAGGCAGATGATTGTTACTGTGCCTGCTGAGTCTCACCCACTGGAAAATGTGTTTAAGGCCAGGATGGACCTGGGATTCCTCCCTTTCACCCCCTGCACTGGTGCCATTCAGCTTTGGGTGCTGAGACACCTCTCCTAAGGGAGATGGTGGTCAGGTCACATGAAACCATGAGCCCGTCTGGGGGCTCAGTGCCATGGCTCCATGGTGGCCTCAGAGGTGCTGTGATAGCAGGTATTGGCTGCACGTCCCTGCCTCCCTGACCCCTGCTTAGGGCTTGGTAACGTGTCCGGGTATGGGCAGTGGTGCCTGGTTCTGGGATTACAAGCCTGAGTGGGAAGTGATGGGAACCATGACCAGGCTCTAAAGCTGATAGGGACTTCTGGGCCTCCCCACGAAGTGGGCCCAGAGCACCGGCTGGGGGCTGGTAGAAGGGTGAGGGGCACACCAGGGTGGTTGGAGATGGCGGGAGAGGGGGTCAGGTATGGCTGGGGTTAACTCAGGCCTAGGTTGGAATCCTGGCACTCCTCTTTACGAGGTTTGTCACTTGCCTTTTCTGTGCCTCAGTTTATTCTTCTGTAAAATGGGAGAATGAAGGGGTTAGTATAGGAGGTGATAGAAGGACATGTGTGTGGCACTTTGAGCTATTTTTGTTATTTGTGCTGTGATGTGGTTGATGATATAGGGGTAGGGGAGATTACATTACAGGCTGGTCCGGGCTCAGGTGGAGGCTCGAGGAGTCTTGAATGGGGGACAAGGTGGGCTGGGCAGGAAGGGACAAGGATGCCTAAAGACCACTCCACCGAGGCTGTAGATCCTGGTCAGAGACTCCAAATGGGGCTCTGGGGACAATGGGACCATGCCCGCCTTCCCTGGGCCATCACCTTTCCTCCCCCTGAGACCATAAGGCTTTGCCTCTCTGCAGGATGGGGACAGGGGTCACTGCCCTTTCTGTCTGAGGTTGGCTAAGAGCATTAAGCAGGATAGTGGTGGCAAGGTGCTTGGTGTGGTGCCAGGGACAGGGCTCCTCCATGGAGCCCCGGTCACCACCACTCTTGGTTTTTCATCTCCATCACTATCCTCAGGACCTCATAGGGCCAGGAGCTAGTTGATAGCTCCATGTTGGGCGTATAGTAAGCCCTTGGGAAACGCAGGCATCTCCCTAGTGAGGCTTCTGCAGGATTCTGAGGCAGGAGGGCCACAGGAAGGCATGTAGCTGGGTGCTGGCTGGGGTACAGACACCCCTGGGATTCTGCCCCTGTTAGGAGGCGCTGGTGCAGGGCCAGGCCTCGGTGGTAGGGAGCCACAGCTCCTGGCCGTGCTGGGATGGACAGTGGCCTCTGTGGAGGAGGAGACCCTAGTGGGCTTTGAGGACCCGCCGGCCTAGATCCAGGGGATGATGACAGATGCCTCCTGGAGGGTGGCCCAGAGTTGGGCCCATGTGACCATTGGGAGCAACAGCAAGAAAAGGTTCAGAGTGAGGCTGCCACCCAGGTGGGGGTCTGGGTGTGGATTCAGCTGAAGGCTGTGTTGGGAGATGCCAAGCTTCTTGCAGTTGGAAAGCCCCTGCCCTGCCCAGACCCTGGTGTCAGGTTACCAGGTGTTGTAGAAGTCAGCAAATCTGACAGGTGGAGACAGTAGCCACGCTGGTGGCCCATAGGGCAGGGAACTGCTCCCCAGTCAGCCACAGTATCTGTCCTGCCCTGGAGCCAGGTCCCTGACCCGGGCTCACCAGGAGAGTGTGTAGAGGGCCTGCTGTGTTGGAACAAACCGGGAAACCTCTGTCCCTGCTTCTGCCTGCTGGGATGGCCAGTTCCAGAAGAGACTTTGCCTTTTGGGTGTGAGAGGTAGCCATAGCTCCTAGGCTGTGGAAAATTTATGCTTTAGTATTTGGGGGGTGCTGGCGGTGGCGAGGGACAGGCTAGTTAAGGGACACCGGGCCAGCCACCAGAAATTGGTAGCAACATGGTGGGTGGGGGAGAGGCTGTTCTGAGTCTAGCTGTTATGCTCCCTTGTCTCCTCTTAAAGAGTAGAGGTGGTTCTTGGAGAGAGGGAGGCAGACCCAAACCAGGCGGTCTCAGGGTGGCTGCTGCTACAGCTTCAGAGAACATGGGGTTCCCTGCAGACCTGTGCTCTGGGCCCCAGCATCCACAGGATGCCCCTGCCGGCCCGTGCTCTGCTGCTTCCTAAATTCCAGCTGCACCAGAAGGTTTAGAGAGGGGGTTGCAGGCTGAGGCAGCCTGTGTGTTCCTGATGGGGAGGAAAGATACAGAGAGGGAGTGAAACCCCGCCTGCCCCCACTTTCTCCATCTGCTTGGGTTTCTTTCTTCTTGTTTGAGAATTGGTATGACCATACCCCTACCACACACTTGAAAGGCTTTTCAGTGGGTTTGTTTTCATTTCACTTGTATCATTGGCTTAGAAAGATGGTCCGGATTGGCAGTTGCCTGTAGATAGGACTTTGGGTGGCTGAGGGGATCCGTGTGTGCTTTAAAAGAAATCGGGTAGGGCAGAAAGGAAGTCAGGCAACCTCTGGGGAAGGAGGGAGCTGCCTTCACTTCCTCCCCTGTCCTGCCAGATTCGGCAGCCCAGTGTGACGGGGCATATGAAATCATACGGGAGAGAGAGGAGGCTGGTTTGCTGTGAGCCCCTTTGATCTTCCCTTAAAGTAGAGGCTCACTTCCCCTTGACGTGAGGAGATGGAGCCACTGCTGCAAGAGTGACTCCTCGACATGGCAGCAAGCACCGGGATACCGCTCCACCTGCCCATTTTACAGATGTGGTGACAAGCAGGCCTGAGCTTTGTCAGGGATGTGTCCCCAGGTCCCCTGGTGCTTACGTGCTCTGGCCATGCTGTTGATAGCATCAGTCCCCCTTTAACACTCTCACCAGACACCAGATCCCTGAGGGTTCTCTCATTTCGGCCTCTTGGCCCCTGGCTGAGGTTGAGGTGTGCTGAATAGAGCACAGAGAGGTCAAGACCCTCATCTAGGGTCACACAGCCACCCAGTGGAGGAGGCGTGAGTTGAGTTCAGGCTTCTGATCTCTGCCCGTCGCCCGGGGTTCCTGTCTCCCAGATCCCAGGGGCTGTAGGACCCCCAGCCATTGCGAAGGCCTCTCCCTGGCCTAGCAGTGGGGCCTGCGGCTGACTTGGTCTGTCTCCCCTCCTCTGCCAGCTCCCTCAGCTCAGGTGTGGAGACTCACTTACTCACTGTTCTTCCTCCCCCACCCGGCCCTGGGACCCAGCAGCAGCAGCAGCAGCAACAGCAGCAGCAACAGCAGCAGCAGCAGCAGCAGCAGCAGCAGATGCCCCGGAGCAGCCAGGAGGAGAAGGAGGAGAAGGAGAAGGACAAGGAGGCCGAGAAGGAGGAGGAGAAGCCCGATGTGGAGAACGACAAGGAGGAGCTGAACAAGTAAGGCGGCCCGGCCACACGGCTGCCCAGCTGGAGCCTAGCCTGCCTCCCATGAGGGGGCAAGGTGGTCTGCACCCCGCTGGAGGCCAGGCCCCCCCGGGGCCGACTCTGCAGAGGCGCTGGAGGACAGCGGTTTGGCGTAGGCGGATTGCCTGCTGGCAAGGGAGGCTTCTTTGGCTCTGGCTGAACCTGACAGCCCCCCTTCCAGAAGCCTGCCTGGCCCCCTCCTCTCGCCTCCCGGCTGCCCTCTCCTCCTCAAACCCTCCAGAGACCTCAGAGACCGATAGCTCATTTGAGCTCTACTCCTGAGCTAATAAATCTAGGCGATGACTTTGGAGCTCTTTGCCTGCTCGTCTCCTCCCCCTCCTCCGCCAAGCCTCCCGAGATGCCAGGCGGGGGAAGGGGGATCAGAGGGGCTGGCTGGAGGATTAGGTATGCAGGCGGGCACTGCCCTCACCTTTTTAGAGTTATCGCTGTCAGCATGAGTTCTTGCAGATCAAGGCATAGCCTCCTGTGCCTGCCAGGGGCGGGTGCCGAGCACAGCCAGCTGGAGATTCACGCCAGAGAGGGGGGCGGGCACGGCTGAGTGCCAGATACCTGGGATAGGCTCAGGAATGTGGCTTCAGAGAACATCTGGCTTCGTTACCCCCTGTCTCCCAGACGTCCAGGGAGGGCCTTCAGGAAGATGAATGGGAGGCGGCCCTACAGTAAACCCTTCTGAGTTGGCTTCTGAGAAAGCCCCAGCCGTGGATACAGATACAGAGATCACATGCACCCACACACACCTGGCTCAGCTGCAGAAGCCCGGCAGGAGACTTCCCTTTTGTGAATGCTGCAAGGCATGGTGGCCCTCAATAATACTGCAAGCAAAGCTGGTGCCATTTCTAGAGCCCCACTGAGCATCTCTGCTTTGAGAAGTGTAGTGGACTTGTGGGTTGTACCTGCCTACCCCCACGCAGGTAATCCAGTAGTGTTGCAGGCAGATGGCAGAGTGCATCTCTGTTTTGGTGTGTAAGGTGGTCTTGTAGAGAGCCACTGGTCTGTGCACATCCATCCAGTTAACTACCAGTCCCCAGCCCTGGTTTGGAGAATATAAAGCTGTGGTAGCTGTTAGCTCACAGGTCCGTTTGGACAAACACAGCAATGCCGCAGAGAGCTGGTAGCCACAGCCTCTCTTCTGGTGAAGAAGGCTTGCAAATTGCTGCCCTCTAGCCCTTACCCTGAGCTTTCCTGGCTCCTAGCCTCTCAGTAGTACAAAACCCCTGGCAGCCAGCACACATCGAACTAAAGAAAAGCAGGCCTCTTGCAACTGTCACTTGCTGGTTCAGGTGAAGCCATCCCTGTCTCCCTCTGGCCTTTAGGGAGAAGACGGATGACACCTCTGGGGAGGACAACGATGAGAAGGAAGCAGTGGCCTCCAAAGGCCGCAAAACTGCCAACAGCCAGGGAAGACGCAAAGGACGTATCACCCGCTCCATGGCCAATGAGGCCAACAGTGAGGAGGCCATCACCCCGCAACAGAGCGCTGAGCTGGGTGAGTTTCAGGCCAGGGAGGACGGGTGGGTTCCAAACCACAGCTTTGGCTTCTGAACTCACTGCATGACCTGGGGCAAGCTCCTGGACCTCCTTGTGTGTTGGGGTCCTCATCTACACTGCTTGCTGTATGTGGGGAGAACCTATGATGGTGCGTCAGCCCTAGTTACCCCAGAACTGGGAGGGTTCACATAAAAATCCAGATTACTGGTTTGGGTTCTGTTTTTTAATCAGAAAATCTGGCCACTCTTGGCCCCCATTTCCACTGAATAGCCACCACTACTGTTTAGAAGGACCTGGGCACAGACTGTACCCCCCTGCCCTGCCCCAGCCCCATAGGTCCCTGTGTCTGCACTGACTTCTGTGGACCTCAGTTTCTCCTGCTCCTCCAGGTACTCTGAACCTCACCACCCCCACCTCAACTTGTTGAGGGTGTGTGGGGAGAGGTGGATTGAATGGCAGTTCTCGAGTTCAGCCACAGGGGGGCAGCCAACATGTGTCTCTCCTCTCCATACTATGTTGGCTGTTGGTGGGGGCTGGCCTTCCCACCTCTGTGGGAGCCCCCATCCAGGGCGCTGAGTGCTCAGGTAGAGGCCCAGCCACCAGGATACCTTCCTAGGGTAGGAATTGATGGAGATGATGTTTTGTTCTCATGGATGCTCCCTACCCCACATACAGGGTCCGTGCCAGACACCTGTCCCTTCTTCCCATGGGAGATAAATTGTACCCATTTCATAGATGAGCTGTTTAAGGCTTAGAGAAAGGATGTTGCCTCCATAGTCATGGGGTTAGCTGGGATTCAAACCCAGCCCCATTGGCCACAGGTTTCATATGACTCCTGTAGGTTTTTGCTGGCTACCCCCTGGTGCCTAGAGGCCAATGGCCATTGCAGTCAGTGGTGGGCCAAACTCATGGGAAGCTCCTCTCAGGCCCCAGGCTGAAGTTGGAGCTAGTCTACCGGGTGGAAAGTACCACCCTGGTCCCTCCGATAGACTATTCCAACATGCCCACCCCAAGCTGAGACTTCATAGCTTCCCTCTGAGGATCCTGTTGCAAAGGAAGGGGAAAGTTGGTGAGCTCTCACAAAAATGTCAGGCCGCGGCAGCAGGGAGTGGGGGAGGCTGCCCTGGCTGAGGGTGGGGTGCCCTTCTTGGCTTGAGCTGCTCTTTCTCATTCCCTCTTGCTGGGACTTCCTACACCGGTCAGCCAGCTTCTATACTCTGGGCCTGGTGCTGTTCCCGACACTGAGTCCATGTGGCTGGCCTCTCATGTCTGCCCCCTTCATGAGGTCTTTTTTTTTTCTTCTTTTTTAAAGATTTTTATTTATTTATTCATGAGAGACAGAGAGAGAGAGAGGCAGAGACAGAGGCAGAGGGAGAAGCAGGCTCCCTGTGGGGACCCTGATGTGGGACTCAATCCCAGGACCCCAGGATCACGACCTGAGCCAAAGGTAGACATTCAACCACTGAGCTACCCTGGCACCCCTCCCTTCATGAAGTCTTAAGCAATTTATAGGGAGAGACCTGGGCTCATATCTGGGGGACCTTGGAGGAGAGACCCCAAAACTGCCACAGTAGAGGCCTGGCCAATTCTATGTGATGTCAAGGGCCGCCATGTCACTTCTAAAGCTTCATCCTTACACAGGGGGACTTTGGGGAGAATATGGCAGTTGTCCTGTAAAGCAGCATTGTCAATGAGTGACCTTACAAGCCCCAGGGGACAATTGGCCATGTCTGGAACCATTTTTAACTATCACAGTTGGAGTGAGGACTCCTGGCATCTAGTGGGTTAAAACGGGGATTAACAGCAGAGAATCACTGGTATCAGCAAGTCCATGCTCTGATGAGACCCCTGCCCACCCAAAGCTCATGTCCCTAGTCCCCCTGACCTTTATGCAGTCACCATGCTCTCAGGTGGGTTACCCCCTTCTCAACCAGGTGCATGCAGAGATAGCTCTCATAGTCCAGGGCCTGGGCCATCTCAGTTTCCTTTCCTGTAAAATGGGCTGATTATATCACCCCCACACTAGCGGGCTGTCTGTGAGCTGGACCACCCCTCAGGCTGCTGCCAATGCACCTTGTCTTCCTTTTCAGCTTCAATGGAAATGAATGAGAGTTCTCGCTGGACCGAAGAAGAAATGGAGACAGCCAAGAAAGGTGAGGGTTCTCTGGGGACTCTGACCAGTCTCGATTGGCATCCAAGTGCTGGGGAGGATGTGGCACATCGGGCCTTGAACCAGGTGCTATGGTGCCATCTGGAGGGGTATGCTCTGCTTTTGGGCTGTTCTCAGGTTGGTCCCTCTTCCTTGGCCAATAGCTGCTTTGTCAGACTCCACGTTGTGTCCCCAAGGTGACATCGAGGCACAGCTCAGAAATGGTGCAGCTCGTGCTGTGCCGGCGGGTCAGTGGATAGCTTCTGTGCCTTCCAGGGTCAGCACATTGTGGCCCTGTAGATATTGGTGGCAGCACACTTGGGTGTCTTGGAGAGGAGGTACAGAGCTTGGTGGCAGCCACCACGATGGGGTCACCGAGGCAGGGCTGGAGGCGGCTGTTGGCCATGTGCAGTAGCGCTGACCTCATGTCCTCCCTTAGAAGCCAGCCATGTGTTCCTTGAAGCCAGAACAGCAGGGTCCTTCACTTCCTGCTTCAGCGACCTATCTACCTCAGTTTCCCCATCTGTGAATTGGGAGGGGCATCAGGGTTGGCCATGAGGAAGCAGAGATAACAAGCACTGAGGGTCCTGAGGGTGCGTCCCACATTGCCAGGACTGCGTCTGTGTGGATTCCCCTTGTCTCTGGACCGATCCCTCCTTTGCTTGTGCCCAGCACTGACAGGAGGGTTGAGGCTAGGTGGAGCCTGACCCTCTGTTTACCTGACTGCTCTATTTACTCTGATTGTAGCGCCCAGAGTGGCTCTTGTTTCCATCCCATTTCACAGAGGAGGAAGTGAGGAGTGAGGCCCAGGATGGCCCAGGTCCAGGAGCTGGTACATGGAGGGGTGGGGAGCAAGCCTGGGCCTCCGGGTTATGACTCACAGAGGGAACAAATGACCTTTCTCGTGAGGGCCCTAGGTGCACAAGGGCAGTGGTGTGAGGACTGTAGCCTCCGAGCCAGGATGCACCTGGGCTGGCTGCCCTGCCCTGCCTCCACTGTCCACCCTGGGAAGGGGATGCTCAGTGGCTTGGGTGCTCTTCCCTGGGGCTTCAGCAGCTGACCAGGAGCAACCCCAGACCTGAGCAGGCCATATCCTCCCAGTTGCTGTCTGGGCGCTCCGCCCCCTGCCCTCCTGAGGCCCCAGCCCTCTCTTCTGAACTCCCTGCCTTCAGTTGAGGCAGACCCTCAGCAGCACTCAGGAGAGGAGCTGCCCTGCCTCTTCGCCTAGGCCAAGGCCCTGGAACATGAGAGATTTCCAGCACATCAGAGCAGTACACCTGGTGCCTGGGTGTCGTCTTTACCTGCAGGGTGCCGGGGTGCTGGTTAGCCCCTGGGGTGGGGTGGGGGGCATACTGTTGTTTTTCTCTGTCCACTTTGTGGTTTCCAGGATGGATCACACCATTGGGTGCAAAGGAGGCCTCACTGACATTGTGTGAGTTTTTTTCTCTTATGTAACTTTGGTAAATACGTATAACATAAAATTTACTGTTTTGACTATTTAAAAGTGTGTAGTTCAGTGGCATTAAGTATATTCACAGTGTTGTGCAACTGTCACCTCTGTCTAGTTCCAGAACGTTTTATCACCCCAGACGGAAACCCCGTACCCACAAGCAGTCACACCCAGCCCCCAAGGCCTGCCAGCCTCTGGCAGCCACTAATCTGCTTTCCGTCTCTGTGGATTTGCCTTCAGGACTTTCACATGAATGGAATCCTGCAGTACGTGCCCGTCTGTGTCTGGCTTCTCTCACTCAGCATTGTGTTTTCGAAGTTCATCCGTGTTGTAGCATGCAGGCTTCATTCCTTGTATGGCCAAGCTCTGTTCCACCGTGGGGATGGACTACATACCCCTGATGTGTTCATTCATCCGTTGGTCAACGGTCATGGTGGTTTCCACCTCTTGGCTATTATGAACAGAGCTGCCAGGAACATTTGTATAGGATTATTTATTAACCACACGTGAGATCCCTGTGTCTCAGCCATTGGCAGCGATATTGCCCAGCACCCCCCCACCCCGCGCGCACGCGCGCACGCACACACACACACACACACACACACACCCCAACCTATTGGGGCAGTGAGGGGCTCCATGTGCACACCCCAGGACTGCCAGCCTGTATTCCCACAGCCCCTCATCCCCCACAGAGTGTCTTCTGTTGTCACGGCGGCTCCATCCCTGGCTCCCTTCTTGTTGCCTGGGAACCGAGAGTTGGCCAAGTTGGCAGCTGTCCTCTCCCTCTGGGAAGGGCAGATCTAGGGAATGGGAGGTCGGCAGGGATGACTCACTACCCGAGACAGGAGTGCGCCCCACTGTCTCAAGGTTGGGTCCTTAGAGCGGCAGTGAGCTCATCCTGGGTCCTGCCCACAGAGACGGCAGTGCGAGAACCCCCTGGGGACTGTGCACGGCCAAGGCCCTGCTCAGTGACATTTGTAATAATGCGATGAGCACCAGCGTGCTCGACTGCCGTGAATTACAGCAATCTGGACAATTACTGCTCAGGGTGGCTGCTAATGGCTTTGTGTTCCAGGCGGTGGGAGGGGGCAGGGCGGGAGGCAGGTGCTGGTAGCCCCGGCGACTTTTCTCCACCATGGGCATAGGTGGGGAGATCAGGAATGCTCTGGAGCCCCCTGTCCAGCCCTCAGAAAACCCAGGAAGGGACTAAAAAAGCAGCTATGCTTCAGGCAGATGGCATGCACTCATCCTGCTGGCCATCCCTCCCATCGACCCAGTGCTTCACCCTTTGTGGGGGGTACCCAGAGATGAGCCAGACTGAAGTACCCCAGGAGACATCTAGCAGCCTGGCCTTAAAGGTTGAGCAGCAGAGAGAAACCAAGCCTTTTAGCTCCATGACCTTAGGCTAGTCCATCAACCTCTCTGTGTCTCTTTCCTCATCAGTATGGTAAGAATTAGAGTATCACCCACCATGAGAGTTTCCTGGAGCTTCCCCTAACCACATACAAACAGAGGGGCTTAGAAACGGCAGCAGGGTGCTCTCTCCCAGCTCTGGAGGTGGGAGGACTGAAGTCAAGGTGTGGGCAGAGCGGTGTTCCCTCTGGGGGCTCTGGGAGGGCACCCACCACCACGTGGTCCCTGGTGTTCCATGGCTCGTGGGTACATGGCTCCCTCCTCTGCCTCTGTCTTCATGTGGCTGTCTTCCCTCTGTGTGTCTGTGTCCAAAACCCCCTCTCCTTACAACGACCCACCTTAACCCGGGTGTTCTCATCTCAATTTGCTCATATCCGTAAACAGTCTTTTTCTCAATAAGGTTACTTTTATAGGTGGCAGATGAACATGAAATTTGGAGGGAACACAGTTCAATCTGGTAAAGCCACCATTGGGGTTCTGTGGAAAAAAACAAAACAACAACAGAAGAGCTTAGGTCAGTCATGTGTCAGGCATATTGAGGTTCCCATCACCATTTATAACACTAACCAGTTCCTCAGCCATGTGACCCTGGCCTGGCCTTTCCCTGTCTTGGCCTTGTTTCACCCTCCTCTGGCATGTGGCCAGGATGCCATCCCACAGGGGCATCATAAAAGGGGGGAGGCATGAACCATAAATGTACAGCATACAGTAGGCTCTCAGAAGTGGTAGGCCCCACAGTTCAATACCAAAACTCTGGAGCCTTTCTTGCTGTGTCCAAGTCATGGCTCTGCCCCTAAAGGGGTATGTGACCCCAAGCAAGTGTCTGCCCTTTCAGGGCTTTGGCTCCTTATGTGCATGTGGGGGAAGTGGGCTGAAGGTAAGTGACGTGCTGAGCTCATGTAACCTGATGCTTGGAGGAGCTTCAGTGAGGCCAGAGATGGTCCCCCCCTCCGAGGCAGAGGCCCGGGGCTGGCACCCAGAGCACAGATAATCAGTAACCCTACTGGGTGTTCCTCAGGTCGCATCATCCCTACCAACCTCATGAGGCAGATGCTCCATTATTAGTTCCTTTATTCAGATTTGGAAACCAAGGCTTAGAGAGGTTAAATGAGCTGTCCTGGGTCACACAGCTGTCAGTTGGTGGATTTGAACTCAGGTACTCTAGTTACAGAGTGGGAATGGGGCTGGTGTGAAGTTTGAATGAGTTAGCCTTGGCTACTATCAGATAATGGGGGGCACCTAGGTGGCTCAAGTTGGTTAAGTGTCCAACTCTTGATTTCTGCTCAGCTCATGATCTCAGGGTCATGGGAGTGAGTCCCATGTTGAGCTCCCTGCTTAGCAGGGAGTCTGCTTGAGTTTCTCTCTCTCCCTCCCCCTCCCCTGCTCATGTGTACGTGCTTATACTCTTCCTCTCTTTAAATATATAAGTAAAATCTTTAAAAATTTCACATAATGAGGGAGGGAAGAGCATCCCAGCAGCAAGAACAGCACATGAAGAGGCCTTGTGACAGGGAGACTGTGGTCAAGTAAGAAGATGTAGAAATGGGGAGTGAGGGTGAGAGAGTCAAGAGATGGAAAGGCTTTTGGGGTCCTGGCCTTACCAGCTGTAGGATGGAGTTTGGCTCTGACTCTAAGAGCATGAGGAGGGCCAGAACCTGGGGAGAGGGTGAAGCAGGACATAGCAGCTGCAGGGTTCTGGGTGAGCAGATGGGCACCTCATTTTCTTGTGTGCAGGGAGTCAGGCAGGGCTGCCTGCCCTAGGGTTCATACCAAGTAGGCACTGAGCATGTACAGGAAGCAGCCTCCCCAGGAACCAGGCAGCTCCAGGGAGCTGGCCGCCTGCCCTCAGGCTCAGCGCCATGCTGGGCAGGAGGGGCAGGCCAGGCGCTGGGCTGGGATGTGAGGCTCTCGTTCCCCTGGGAAAGGTCAGCCTGGCCTGGCTCAGAGTCTTGACCCAGCTGTGCGGGAGGCCCGGGGCTCTGCTGGCAGCTCCTCTTGGTCCCCAGCATCTCTTCTCTGGTGGGCAGAACGCCAGCTGTGGAGGGGGTGGGGAAGCCCCTGGTCACACCATTCCAGACCAGGAATAGGTACGGGCCCAGCTCCAAGCTGCCAGCCCTGCCCTCCCCTGGCCTCTAGCGGCC